ATGGTGTGCCACTATAGAGTTGCATTCAGATCAGGAACGAAACTTTGAAATCTGCCATCTTTAAGAAAATTCGTGAGATCATGGGCATTCGTAAGACAAGGATACCTTCACATCCACAGTCTGATGGCATGGTAGAACGATTCAATAAGATATAGGAACACCTGACAAAAGTGGTCGCAAAGAACCAGCGAGATTGGGACAAACATTTGCCTCTTTTTTTAATGGCTTACAGAGCAGCTGTTCACGGGTCAACAGTAGGTGAAAGTCCAGCTAGAATCGTTTACGGAAGGGAACTCAGGTTACCTTGCGATGTGATGTTTGGCAGGGATGTTCCGAGAGAATTTGTAAATGTGCACTTGACAGTATGAAAAGTGGTCATATCTGACACAAAATGTGCATTCCGCTTGTTGACCTTGTTTTTGCGTACCAAAACTACCAAAGATGATACACACCTACAGGATTGCTTATCGGCCTCGTTTTTGGTAATTGCCGCCATATTGGTGTGTCACCATGATACTAGAACACACAAGATAAGATCACGCGCATGTTTATGTTCTGTCTCTCTCCCTCCGCTGACATCATCCCGTGATAAATTCGGTCTGATTAATGGCGTCTTGGCGTGTTTTTGTTCGTTTTTAATCGTTTTATCTGTATATTAGTATTTTTCTTACGTGAAAATCTCCTTGTTAAAATTGTATTCTGTTCATTTGTGTTTGAGTCTCTTTAATAAATAGTTATAGCATAAACATAAACCATGGTTTACTGTGCGGTCGTGGATTGTAGCAGGTAGCAGAAACAATAATAAAAAAAAAGTAAAAACATGCCTAGTTATAGATATAATTGTGATATATGGGTGCCATCGGAAGCTGGACTTCAGTATCAAAAATTAAATCTCCGAAAGCTGAAACATCTAAACAGAAAACAGAAAGACTATGACAAAACAAATAATGAAAGGGATATGGTCAAAAATATACATAAAAAGTATGTAGTAGCCATGTGTGGTGTAATGATGTTCCAATTTTCCTTTATTATAGTTGTCTACTTTTAACATATTATTTAGCTGTGACATTTTGCACATTTTTGTTAAATTCTACCTGTGGGGATTGGAATTTGTACGTTCTTCAGCCAGACTATGGTTACAAATATTTATTAAGCATCAGAAATTGTTTTGAAGAAATGTAAAAAAAGTGTTATTAATATTTATGATAAGTAGAAGTAGAAATTTGTATCCAAAACTAATATATTTATGTATATTTGTAATTTATTCAATTCAATGATAAAAAAAATTTCTAAATAGCTATTTTATGTGAAATAAATTATACACTATACGCTGGATCGTGTTTTATTTTGTATATCTGAATTATTATCACGAGAAATTCTGATTTACCAGTCAAATCATAACGAACAAGCTAATTTCTCTATTATCTCCATACATTTTTGTCACGCGATGACGTCATGCGCGAACTGGTTCAAATTTCGTCCACCAAATGATCATATCTTCTGTGTTTTAGTATCATGGTGTGTCACCATTTCCGACGTCTAACTAAGGGCGGGTATTATAAAACTGCTTTGACAGTTAACTTGAAGTTAACTTTTTGAATTACATGTAATTCCAGAAGTTAACTTTAAGTTAACTCTCAAAGTAGTTTTATAATACCCGCCCTAAGTCGTCAGCTGTTCAAATAGTCTACGTCAAGGCGAGAAATAACATGCTGCCTACGTCACAACTGGTGACTTGGCTTTGGGAGGAGAGGGGGGATTTGTTCCACACAGGCCCTAGTTGCTTTCCAGTATGCACATTGGCGCGCTCTAGAGCACCCCGGGAGCGCCACGTACTAGATTTGTACCGTTCCAGTATCATGACGTCCACGTGTGACGTTTGCCGGAAGCGAATAGCCTGGGAGCTCATAAATACTGGAAAGCGGCTCATATGAGGATAGGCCATCTGTAGTAGTAGTGTATATCATCCTTGGTGGAGTATGTATAGAGTACAGTGAAGCTATACTCAGTACAAATTTACTGAAATGAAACTCCAAATTTAGGATATTTTGTATACTATTTATTGACAAAAAAATTGTGGCAGATTTATTCTAGAAATCAAAATGTGCATATCTAGAGATTGGGGTGCATACTGTGCATATAAATTGAAAGTGTGCATCAATATGCACAATTGTGCAGTTTGGACCCACCCTCGATGTTTGGAATACGGTAACACCTACCTGAAGAGGAACAAAAAGAAATTCGAGATTATGCCTACGGTACGGCGTAAGGACTCAATTTCTGTGGGGATAGGTAACCTACATGGTTTACCTCGAGAGCATATTCAGCTGACCAGTGACCGAATGAAGAAGATACAACTTGAAAGCCATTTCAGCCGGATTTCAAGAAGGTGATTTAGTGTGGCTCGGCTGGTTTCCTAGCCTCGGCTATGCCTCGGCTATGAAACACCAGCCGCGGCATTAAATCTTGTACTTTTCTGCCTAGTAAAACAAATAACTATTATTATATTAGGCAATTTAATCCATCTGTCAAAAATGAAAATTCAATATGGCGTTGCGGCCAAGCAAGCTTGTTTTGAATATGTTTTTATGTGTATTTTAAATTATTTTGCTTAGAGTTTTGCTTGTAACTTTGATTTTGATTATTTAATACGATAATTGTTGACTAGGTACCTAGACTATTAAATCGGGCAGAAACTACATATTTTTTTGTGTTTTTTGGCCCATGTGTGGCCGCCACGCCATCTTGAGTGTCACGTGGTTTGAATTGCCTAATTATCGGTTTTCCTCATATTTATAATCAGTGAATGCTGATATCAAAGTGATAGGTATAAGCTACTTAGGTAGTAGTCATTTTTAAATTTTCTAAAATATGTTTATTGTTTACGTCACATGTAGACGTGTAGACAAATGCCTACGTAAACAATAGGCTCGTACAGCATATTTTTTTTATTACATATTCTAAAAGAGCGTATTGAGTTTAGCAGTTGTGCAAAATTTCATAATTTTCCGAGCCCTTGTTCATATTTAAATAAATTATCAAAAAGCTCCAAATTTGAAAGTTTTGAAACACGCGGTGACGTCACTGCATCTCTCACGTTGGTCGTGTGACGGCCTTTAGCCCGTCTTGACTCGAGAGATGACGTCATACCATCTCTAAGCGATGAATTTCTGAGGCATAATGTTTTATTATTCAAAGCCGCATAACTTTTTTAATATTTATCCAATTGCGCTGAATTTTTTTTTGTGTGCTATATGTGAGTAATACTCCATAAAAATTTCAAAAAACGTGGTTAATGAAACCTCACTGAACGAGCCTATTCGAATTGTCTACACGTAGACAATCAATTCTTTACGTTGACATTGTCTACAGGCACATCACTGGCAGAGCGTGCTGAAGCGCAGCAGAAGTCACGTGACCAGCGAACACACAGAGCAGTTAAACCTCGAGTTAAACGCTGTATCAAAGCCAATGATCAGAACCCTCGAAATTTTAATAAACGAACGCGAATGAGCCTACTCCGAGCAAACTTTTTAAATAAATGAACAGTAAATACAAGCTAGGAGAACTCAGATCATAATACCAAACGCACGGTTCATTAACCTAAGCTTGCTAAAACTCCGTTCATCTTCGCCGCCCACAGGAATGGTTACAACAAAAATAAGTGCTGTTCAGATATTCAGGAACTTATCTTACCAATTATTTAATGCTAAGGTCTGAAGGACTGCCAGATAAAAAGGCAATCCGCAATCCCTTTGATCGGTCAGACAGTCACCAGAAAATTTATCTGGAAATGAAGAAACCGGGCCTAAACGTTCTATGGGATTCACATACTAACCACACGCTTGCTCGCAAGCAGAATAGCAGGATATCGGAAAGCGAAGACAGGATTCAGAGCAGAAATATATTTTTCTCTTTTTTTATCATCAACGATTCGGAGGCGCCCCTCGAGGTCTGGCGCCTGGAGCGCTCGCTCAGTTCGCCTTATGGTAGGGCCGGCCCTGCATTAAGTGAGCTTATTTATTCTTCTTATATTACTCTTTATTATTATTTTTTTTTATCTAGGGACTCAAGTTGAGTGTAATTAATAATTATTATTATAAATACTATTTTAAGAACATATGGTTAGACGATTTCTTTTCTTGTTCTGGTCTGGTTCCAGTGTAAATAATTTTCAGTGTTCCAGGGCGTTCGGAAAACCCACTTCGAACCTGCTCTAGAGTCAACCTGTTCTGGTTTATATTTCTGGATCTAATTAAAACCCGTACCTGATTGTAGCAAAGCGTTTCACTTTTGTCCTTCCTTCTTGTTTATATTTCGGGCTGTGCTGCTATAGGTCCGTAGAAGTTTCCTGCTTTCGTTATATCGGTTGATTTTGTGTACTGCAGGGAAAAAGCAGGTGGCGCTCTATATTTAGTTATTTAATTAACCCACACCCCTCTCCGCATTGGAAGCTAGTCGGCAACCCTTTACACGAAATCACGTTTCTAGATTTCAGCCACCAACCAACCCCTTCTTTCTATTTTTTTGTTTTGTTTTAGTTGCCCATTCACTGTCCCACCTCCTCAAAATCTTATTATTGACTTCTCCGTTACGTTTTGCACGTAATACGCTGACCAGACGGGCATCTTGACTAGCCACTGCCAGCTAAACAAACATTTGGTTAGGTTGCATCTTAGCACCACACCCTTGTGTAGGGCTTGTAATTAAGAAGATCGAGACGATAAGCACATTCTTTGTGACTGCACTGCTCTTTCGCAAATACTCAGAGCCAGATTACGCTAATCGTACCCTATAAGAGATCAGAGGCACCGCCCTCATTGCCTATGTTAAATCGCTAGGCTGGATGATGAGCTAAGAATGACTTCTACTCTTGTGATTGCGCACTATAGGCCTACTGTGGCCTAAGTGCTGCGACATACCACGCTCTCAAACTTACAGATACATACAGATTGCTTGCAGACTTTTGAAGCAATGAAAAAAAAATTCTAATAAATTATAAAAAATAGACATTTATTTCCAATAACAAAAAATTCTCAATTTGACTACAATAATTACCTACTTATAATAATTGACAACATTCAAAATGCTTCATAATAAATACAATAATTTATATTTAAAAAAAAAAATTCCTTAATGTCTGATTATTAAATTTTGGTGTGGATTTCGAAAGTGATATCTTTTGAAGTACCTATTCGTTAAAGCTTATGACGCTTCCAATTGAATGGGAGTGATTAAAACGTTGACAGTTAGCAAAACTTAACTGTATGTGATCTAAAAGTTTTCAAATCTAACAGCTTCATCGAAGAAGACTTTGAAAAAAGGTTAACATTGTCTTTGTAGGACTTCAAAAAGATGATACCACTTGCTATTTGGGTCCACATCTATAATATTATGGCTGTTATAACAAGTTTGTTCTCCGATTTGGTAATGATTGCTTGTGTTGCACTGACAACAACTACATAAGTATTTCAAAAGATAATTTTTCACACCTACACCCGACAAGATTGAAATGCAACTTAATGAAACCAGAAAGGAACAAATGCCAGCACAGAAGTGATCCTGTACTCGCTCAATATAAATGGGATAAAGAAAAAGGCACGATTAACATTGAAAATAGGCTCCCGTAAATTTCAACCAAATTTCAATATTTTAAAGTATCATCATTGCCAAAAAAAAAATTGAAACTTAAAGAGGATCATATGTCTGTGATAGCAGATATAACTTGTCAAAGTACGTAGGACCTCGTACTTTGACAAGCTATATTTGCTATCACTGAGATACGATCCTTTTTACATTTCAAATTTTATTTTACGTTGATGATACCTTTAAAATATTGAAGTTTGGTTGAAATTTACGGGGGCCTATTTTCAATGTTAATCGTGCCTCTTTCTTTGGTCTTTTAGGCTAAAAGGATATAATATTTGAGAAACATAAATACTTACAACAAAAAAAACAGGTGAATAAAAGCATACAGGTAATAACAAAAACAGTAAAATAACATTGTTGTTTTACATTGGAAACATCGCTTATGTCTATAGTATTTCCACAGTAACTTTTGGACTTCATTCCAGGGTGATTTGCGTAGGTCATGCATTAGCTTGCAGGTGGATAGGTATAAGGTCTGGTTCTGCAGAAATCACAAACCAGTCAGAGCGAATTTCATTGGTTGAAAACAGTCAGAAACAGTCAGAAAACTAGTTTCAATCAATGAAATTCACTCTGACTGGTTTGCGATTTCTGCAGAAACAGACATTTCCAAAGTCTGGTGGCTGACTAGTGGCAGTGCATTTCTTATGAAAATATTCAGTCACCAGTTGTGATTTACCTTTACCTTGTTTCAACTAACTTAGGAAAGACTACCTATGTCTAGTCATCCTCCGGCGGAATGGAAAATCTATAATGCACAGGCTACGTAAATCAGGGTGACAAAAATAAAACAATTAACAAAAAATATATGAACAATGTGTTATGTAGGTATGTAATTTTACCTATAACTAGTTTACCACAATTTTGTGTTGGTGAAAATCAGTACTTTTGGAGTTTGATTACTAGATTGTGAAGTATGTAGAACCATCATGATTCAAATATCGGCGCACTAAAATCAAATCCTGTTTGTACCATCAGTTTAACTTCGGTGACAAATTTTTCGCGAATTTCGTCTTGTGTTTCTCCGGAATTAATTAAAGTGAATTCGTTGAGTCTTAGTGTGAGCATCAAGGGCTGGCGGTTGAAGATGACTACTTGATGCTTCCATCCTTTTTTCTTCATATAGGCTACTAGCTCAGTCCAATTGGATATTTTGAGAAACTAAAAGAAATATCAAAAAAATTCAAAACTACAAGCTACTGTTTCCATCATCCAATTTTTTAGACTCATTCGTTTAGTTTAATCAATATTTTATTATTACAACAAAATTATGGGACATTGATAAATTGAGGGACTTAAACTTCCTACAAAATTCAAGCCAAGAAAAGAAATTTCAAGCAAATTCAAAGACATTTAGCAAATATGGTGGAATATTGAGGAAGTTGAAAAAAGTTCAAAGGAAAGCCATGCAAGGAAGGACGGGGCCTATTCATTGAATGAGAGTTCAGAGGAAGTTTCCCCTCATTTCAATATCAGAAGTCATAAAAGACACTTTTGAAGAAGTATTAGTGGAAAAGTATTTGTATTATTGTTAATTCGAGCCCAGAATAAAATTGTAACAATATTCAGATGTTTCACAAATTCTTTTTTTTCTTACTACCTTACTAGAAAACGTCATTTTTGAGCCCTAAACATGGGAGGATAATGGTTCTTTTCCTACCTGGGAACAGAAATTTTCCTCCCTCTGAACAGATTTTTTTTTTCCTTGACTGAGAACAGAAATTTTCCTCTTTCTAAATTAGTAAACCACCAAATTTTCAGAAAATTCGTAGGCATATAATATGTATATGCGGTTCTTCATTATATCGATAGTCGATAGTGGTCCATCGAGGTGTCGTCAGAGGCAGTAGAAAAAACTATGTAGGTACATACCTCCGAAGGAAAATAGTGCATTTCCTTCTGCGGATAGTTTGATGCATGACGCGAAGCCGAGGGCATTAATATCCTCTGGTATGTAAATGGCTATTTTCTGCTAACGTTCCGTAATAGCGATTTTAAGATTGTCATTCTAGTTTCTGAGTAACATTCTTCTAAGCACCCAGTGCGTATAAGTGACACTTCAAGCACTATTGCTGAAAAGTGCCACTCATTGTTCAGAAATAAAAAACACGCTAAATAGAGATTTGAATTTATTCTATTCATTAGATATTACAAATTCAATTATGTATTTCAACTGGTAAATTGAATGTTTGGGTTTCCCAAAACAGAATTTTGTGTTGCTTCTTCCTCTGTCTTTTAGTTACTCCACGGTTTTGTCCAATTCGGCTTTACCTTCCTGGACCATTTTCACGTCGCGTGCCTAAAAGACGTTCATTTCGTAACTTATTGTATACTTAAATAGCTATTTTCTACTACCCTACTAGAACACGCCATTTTCGACCCCTAAACGAAGGAGGAAAATGGTTATTTTCTTCCTTGCGGAAGAAAATAGTGTATTACATGCGAAGGTGGAAAGTGTTTCATTATTGATATTGTCAACTAGCTGCTTAGGAAAGGAGGACCCGGTATTCAACCTTATTAATTTAATTGCCGATTCGATCGGATGTTTATTGCAATTCAGCAATAAATTGATATAAATTGCGCTGCAAGCCGCAGCAAAGTCAGACTTAAACCAGTGCAAGTACCTCTCGTTGGGAAAGCCCCTCTGGAATTAAGTCTCCCCAGTGCAAGTACCTCGGACCCCAGTGTTCGAAGGGTCAAGCATCTTATAGGATTAGCGTACATGTAAGGGCATATTTGGGAAAATATATATCTATATTTTTATATAACCTGAGCGAGTTTCTCTCCATCAACCCCCAAAGCTACAAACCCCCCCATGTCACCCCCGTAAAGCGGGCAGTTGTGACATATTTGGTGGAGGCGCCGTCTCGAAACCGACGCGCAAGAACCGAAGCCGTAAGGCGCCTTTGAAGAAAGCCAACGCCCAAACACGTCACGACGTGGTACGTCGACAAACGGTACCGTGACGAAAGCACACAAGCAAAATTCACGACACCGTGGCGAAGGTGAAGAAAAGACAGAAGAATAAATTGTGACATATTTGGCATATTCGACACGGTGGCGAAGGCGATTTTTTTTTCTTCTAAATCAGAAATATTTGAACAGCTTGCCAGATGCGATATAGATGTCAGATAAGCAAGCAACAACAACTTGAGGCCAAAGAACGCAGCAGCTATAACACCAAAAGAATCATTCAGACCGTCTCATAGGAGCACAAGATTTGAATACTCGTTTTCTCAGTCAAGAAGGCCATTTCAAAGATCTCCACCAGGATCAACCAGTATCAGTTTAAAACAAATTGAAGGTGAGATAGAAAACCAAGCAAATAATCAAACAGGCTACGAAGAAGACAGTGTTTTTGGTAGCCCACCAGACCTTACCCTTCAAGAAGCACCAAAACCCAGGCAACCATCAAAAGACGAAGTAGAACATCCAGATATAATGGCGAAAACCACAATAACTGACGCTATGACAGCGGAAAAACAGGCAAAGTTGCCTCAGTTTATCAGCCCTCAAACCTTCCAGCAGTGTAAAACCAGCGCGATCGAGTTCCTAAGAACATATGACAGATCGGCGATAGCAAATGGATGGAACGAAGAGCTGAAAATTGTTTATTTTGAAACATATTTAGACGGAGTCGCAAACCTGTGGTTTCAGGAGTATAAGCCGACCACCAAAACAACAGCTGGAATGACATTGTCAAAGATTTTGCAGAGGAATTTGAGGATACAGATTACCGAAGGGCACTCGAGAAAAAAGTCGAAAACGAAAAACAAGGTCAAGATGAGTTAGTCAAGGAATACTTGTACGATTTACAAGGATTATACCACAATTACAAACATTCATTTGATATACAAGAATTTGTAAGGATTTTTAGCGAAGGGTTGACGGAGGCAAATCATTACAATTACTACTGGTTAACAAACCCGCCTAACAAGCCACCAACATCACTTATACAATTAAAAGAAATAGCAGACACGATAGACAAAGCTCCGAAGAAAGGTGCAACGCAAGATACCCAAATTACCAGCTGTACGGAAAGAAATACAGTCACAGATACAGAACTAAAGATATGTCATTATTATGGAAAAAGAGGACATGTAATGGCCACCTGCAGGATCCGAATGCAAGGAGAACACACAAGCACAAGAGTACCAATATCTAGCCAAACGTGTTATAATTGTGAGAAAACAGGACATTTCGCAGTTGTATGTAGGAGCCAAAAGATGAGAAATCTTAACTCCAACTCAAAAATTGCCACCGTTTGTTACAACTGTGGGAAAACAGGACATACTGCAACAGTATACAGAAGTCAGCCTCAAAGGTACAAATCGTATAAGCCACGCCACAGAACAGCAAAAACAATCCTGGTTGCTTTGTTTGCGGAAAACAGGGTCACTATGCAAACACCTGTACAACCCGACGACAAAACCCAAACGAGAAGGGATGGCAAAATTAAAAGCCCCCGCCATCCTTACCCTGGGGAAGAACAATAACATAGGTATCTTGCACATCACAATTAGATTAAATAATAAGTACATGTCAGCAATCGTGGATACAGGAGCACAAGATAGCGTTCTACAAAGAAGTCTAATCAAAAAGGAACTAACAAGAAATGATGATACGGTTCTAGTCACTGCAAGAGGACACCAGATAAGATGGGAGACATCGAAATTCCGATAGAAATACCAGGGACTGAAAAATGGAAGGGCAGACTAAACGCCAAAGTAATTCCATGATTAACTCAACTAATAATCCTAGGCATGGAGTTTTTGACAAAAAATAACGCGATCATAGATCTCCCACGGAAAAAACTGATTCTGTATGTTCAGCACGAAATACACCTAAGACAAATGAATAACGAAAAAATCAACATGTCAGGTCTGGTCACAACAAAACAGCCGACTAAAACGAGAGAGCTTAAACTAGATATTTCAAGAGATGAACAAGAGTTTAACAAGTTTGTAAGAGATGAGACATAAAAGATGACCAGGTTAACGGTCTCCTGAAAGAAGAATATGGAAACATAGACGTCCTAACGAACGACGCCGTTTTAGTAGTAGGAGTAACCCAAAACTACAAATCAAAAAAATCAGTTTTGAGAAAATATAGGCATATGATTCCAAAAGACAGAGAGAAAGGGACCATTGGGAGCTATCTATGTCAAAACAAGGAAAAAAAACAGTCATTTTTCTATTCACAAGAGAATCAATGAAGCAGAAACCAAGTCCAAGAAACATGTATAAATGTCTTACAGCACTGAGGAACAATATTTCAAAAAATAAATCCATCCAAAAATTAGTCATTCCAAGACAAGGATGGGGATTAGAAAAAGAATGGACAAGATTTAAACAGATGATATATTTTCTATTTGAAGATGCAGGGGTCCAAATTCACATTTATAGGGAAAAACCTGGGTATAAAGTTAAAGAAGAAAAGCAGAAAGAAGAAATCAGGCATTTGATGCAAATCGGTACAGAAACTAAGAAAAAGACATAAACTGGGTACAAAAAAAGATTACACGGTATCTCAGAATGAGTTAAAAACATTGGAATTAGATATTATGGGCAAACCTAGTGAGATTAAAGATAATATGTATACATGCAAATATAATTTAGACTGGTTAGCAAAAAATCATCTTGAAGTAAAAACGCACATTCACACCAATGAAGATAACCTCATTTTGAAAATACAATCAAACACAAGGAACCCAGTAGCTATATACGCCGGAACCACAATGGCATTTTTGGCAGAAACAGCATCAGAGACAAATATTTCACACAATTTCATGTTGCAAGCAGAAAAAGACGAAGAGAGCGAAGAAATAACAATGGCAGATCATAAGTTAGACCAGCATCACAAACGAGAAGAACAGGCATGAACTCAAAGAACTCCTTCTGGAATACAACGACGTTTTCGCGAAATCTACAAAACATATGGGAAAGACAAATTTAACAGAACACATAATAGACGTCGGAGAGGGTCGCCCAATAAAGAGCCGCCCATACAGAGTGTCGCAAAAAGAAAGACAGATTATTGACGAACAAATCCAGGAAATGCTCGATAGCGAAGTAATTAGGTCTTGTCACTCTCCATGGGCTAGCCCTGTAGTGCTAGTTAAGAAAAAAGATGGACAAACAAGATTTTGTGTAGATTACAGA